GGGGTGTTGGGTGTGTGGGGGGCTGTTGGGTGTGGGGGAGCTGTTGGGTGTGTAGCACGGTAAGGACAGAGATTAACAGAAAAGGGAAGGGAGAGCCGGGAGATGGCTCACGCAACAGGAATTGGCCTTCGAGCAGGAGAGAGGAACGGCATTAGGTCATCACGGCCATCTATGATTCCGTGGGTGACCAACGGTTCTCAGGGCCTGGGTGCAGTCCTGACCTGTGACCTGATGCGGCAGAACGTCCTGCCCACGTCAGCTTCGATTCCCGGGGAAGGCGAGCCGCCCCCCAGCAGCCCCGCCCCAGCAGACTGACCTCACCCCTGCTCTCGCCCTCGGCCCCCAGACCAGAAATAAGGGACAACGGCTCTGTGACCCGTGGCAGTGGCACCCACCCCCGGGGCCCTTTAGCACAAGCAGCTGACAAAATCCCTGAAATCGAGACCCGTGCTGAGATCAAGAGTCAGACGCCTAACCCACTGAGGTGCCCCTGGGTCATATTTAAAGACATATTTATCATTCCCAAATTTTGATAGAGCAGACCTCCATTCGACCCTCCATTCAATCCTGATGCATGCAAGTTTACTTTTCTGGAAACATCCATTTCTGGTAAATATATGTCCACCGTTTTAGGGATAATTGAAAACACGGGAATAGGAAGGAAGATTACAGAAGGGTCAACAAAGGTCAAAGGAGGGCAGGTGTGTATTTTCCATCCCACACGGGAGGAGCACCTGTCTCGGGGGAGGGACGGGGGTCGTGGAGCCTGGGTTGGGACAGGGCAGTGGGAGTTCAATCCTTGGTTAGAATGCCACACCCTCGGAAGGACATCTTGGAGCAAAGCTCCTAGTGACAGTCGTGTGGAATGCCACAGACATCCTCCGTGTCTCGTGGGGCTTTATCTGTTTCCGTCTGCTGGCCGTTGAAAATACAAGGTCTTCCAGCTTTCCCATCTTATTTTTCCATATAACATTCTCCAAATTCATTAAGTTGTATGAGGGTGGTTTGGAAACATGTCCCTGAGAATAGGACACATGGACAAAAGGATCTGTACGAGGCCACCACCATGTCCCACGAGAGAGACACCGAGGGCTGGGACACCTGCCACGTTTCCCCGTGTATTGATATCAGTGGGTTACACTGTCCATTAGAAATTACTGCGGAATAAATGCTGTGTCCCCTGAAATTCTTATGTTGAAAACTTCACCCCCTGTGTGGTAGTGTCAGGAGATGGGGCCTTTGGGGGGGGTCCTAGGTCACGGACATGGAGCCCCCGTGACGGGGTTAATGCCGTGTATGGGTTCCCTCTGGAGGAGGGGACAGGTGACCATCTGCAGACCAGGACTCGGGTTCTCTGCAGACTGCATCCGCCAGAGTGCTGACCTCAGACTCGCAGCCACAGACCTGTGAGACGTGCATCCGTGTTCTTCAAGCCCCAGTCTGTGGCTGCCAGGGCCCACACTGACTACCACCAACACACGCCAAAGTAAACACGGCGGGCTTTCTTCTCTGCACAGTGGCCCTTGGCCGGAGCTTTTGAGAGTCGACAGGGATTCCGCAGACAGAGCATCCGTAAGGAAAGTACTCAGAGTTCCCTGAAGACTTACCTTTAAAATATGCACAGGCTCTGTGCCACCATAAGGAATGCGCCCTTTTTATTGGTCTGTGGACAGCACACCAACTCCCTGTGAGCCATAGTGCTCCGATACACAATTTCGTAACTGATTTTTGGTTTGAGTTGGGGCGTGAGAAGAGATTTGGGGTAAGTCACAGGCCAGTCGAAAATTTTCTTCCATTAGATAGAAGTGTGTTCCCGATCGAGGGAGCACCAAAGGCACTGAAGAAGTTGCTAGATCAGCAACAGAAGGATCTGGAAAACAAGAGTCCGATTTTCACTACCTTAGAGCTACAACTTCTGGAACCAGCTTCCACGGTTGGCCTTCCTTCTTCCCCTGAGCAGCTCAGCCTGCAGCCCGTGGTTTCACCTCGCCCCAGCACCTGTGTGGGACCCAGCTCCCCCCCTCCCCACTCCCACCTGTAGCCCTGGAGCCATTCATTGCTTGTGAGTCACGTAGTATCAGTCGCTATGCTGACAAAAACATTTCCCAAGGATAATCCAACTCACCTTTAATTCCCAAATACTCTGAAATGCTTTGGGCTTCTCAGATGCAAAGTGTGGTCACATTTTTATATTCCTGCAGAATAAAGGGACACCCTGCTCACTTTCCAGATCTACAACGGCCTCCTCAAGTGATCTGAATCTTGATCTGTCTCTCTCTGAAAAAGGAAATGGCCCCCTTTCTTAGCCCCACCTGAGGCTGTGTCACCTCCAGTCTCTGGTCCTCTGCCAGACGGGTGTCCTCCACACTCCTGTCCTTCCTGCGCCTCATCTTGCTGGTTCAAAACTAGGTTCCTGGGCCCTGGTAAGCTTTTCCCAAGACCTGGCTGCTCATAGAATGAGCTCTGTAAGTCAGGGTGTGCCCGGAAGAGTTCAGAGTGGTACGGATTGTTGAAAAACACAATTCAACCTAGTAAATTTGAAGATAATTTGCTTTATGAAGGAATTCATGAATCGGGCAGCATCCCGTCTAGCAAGTAGAGGGTAGCTTGGAGGACTTGTACAAAAAGGATGGTTTTTACTGGAAGGAGGGCGGGCAAGGAAGTTACCGGCAAAAGTGAAGAAAGGATTGTTTCAGGCAAGGTCACCTTTCCTTTGGGGGAAGGGCAGGGGGCTTCGTCTTCCGCTGGGGGCTGGAGAAGGCCCGGGGGACAGAGGCCTCCTTGGTGCTGATCAGAAAGTGGCTAACCGACCAGGTAAGACTCACATTTTCGGGGGAGGTTGGAACGGCAGTCAGGTCAGGTATGAAGGCCCAGTTTGGTGACTTGGCTTAAGTAACACCATGTGGAGGCCTGTGGTTTTCTTTTTCACGGGACCAGTGGGAGAGTGTGCTGAATTCCTCGCTTGCCGTGGCCATGGTGACGAGCAGCATAGCCTTGGAGGACAAACACGGAGCACTGAGACCACAGGCCTGGGTTCATTTACAACTTGGTTTGGCACAACAGAAAATCCCAGTTTAAGAGACCGGCGGCCAGGACCCCAGCTATGTTTCATGAACCCGTCCTGGGATGCGGTTTATTCCGTGCCTTCATTCTGGGTGGTGTGGGAGACCAGAATGTGCCCTCCCAAAGAGGTCTCTTTAGCACAAGGATTCTTTTGCTCTGAATATTTTGAGAGAGGCAGGCAGAGGAGAAGCTCTAAAGACAAAGGCTACAGTTCCCTTTTGTGGGGGACTTGACGCTGGTTTGTCAGGGGGCCTCCCTCTCTGAGCTGGCAGGGAAGGACGATTGTAAATCGCGGGAGCTTCTTCTCGGTGGAGAATTCCTGGGGTGTCCCCTGTGTGCAGGTAAGGTATACGTGTGACTTCTGTCCCTCGTTTTTCTCCTGGTACAGGGGGTCCAGCCTAGAACATGGAAGGGCAGAGGGAGGGTCATTTTTCTCCCCTATTCTGGGGACAGGCTACGTCCTGGAACCCTGAAGTCTTCAGGGTGAGTAGCCACTCCGACGGTGAGCCTAGGAGACCACTACTTACGGAGACTCCCTGGTCCTGCTCATCTGCCGCCGATGGTGGCCGGGAGCAACGACCCTCTGGCTGCTCTGAGAGCCCGGTGAGATGCGCTCAGACAGGCCGGTCACACTCAGACCTAGCTCAGATCTCTTCGCACACACTGACCTCGCTTCCACTTTCAGGCCCTCTGGGGCCCTCTCCATGGCTGCCCTCCCTCAGGTGCTCCCCATCCACAGCTCATGGTGCTTCCCACACTTGTCATTCCTTCTGGAACCTTCCTCAGGTGACCGGGAAGGGAGGGGTACGGTGCATTCCACTCGGGCCAGAGCCGCCTCGTTTGGAGCACAAGCACGTGATCCAGCCCTGGTCTCTGAGCCGAAGGCCAACATAAGACCTGGGAAGCCTTGTGTAACCGTGCGTCCCTAAAATAAGGATTCCTACAGAGCACAGAGTTACGATTGCTGGGATACTAACTTTCCGAGGCTGTCGGAACAAAGTGCCACAGACTGGAGAGGTTAAAACCACAGGATGTGTTCTTTCCCAATTCAGGAGGTTGGAAGTCTGAGATCCAGATCTACGCCCCCCGGGGAAGGTCGTTCCTGCCTCTTCCAGCTTCTGGGAGCTCCTGGTGGTCCTGGGCATCTCTGCCCCTCTGCCCTCCAAGTCCATCTTCACGCAGTGTGTTGCCTCTTCTCATTAGGATGACAGTCATCACCTGTCGGGGCCACCCCAGCGATCTCATCTCACCTGGACCGTCTGCAAAAATCCTGCTTCCCTGGGAGGTCACACACACAGCTCCCAGAGATGGGACTTCAGCCTATCCTTCAGGGCACAAGATACAACATGATGAAGTAGAATGCCCATCCTCAATATGTACAGGGTCATCCTGTGGAGTGGGGTCAAGAGCTGAAATTTATCACTCCTGCAGCTTATGAAGCTCAAAATCGGCTAGTGATTTTGAAGGAATGCCTGATAATTAAAAGGATCTAGAAGCGGCGTGAATCAAGATTGAGCTTTATAACAAGAACGGGCTAGACTCTGGCTGAGCTCTGACATGCCCAGACCCGAGGGTGGGGCGACAGTGAGTACTGGTTGGCTTGCCCCTGCGAGCCATGAGAAGTCAGGCTCTCGAGTGCCCACGTGCTCTGTGCCCGTGGACCCTTTTCCAAACAGTTATGCCCCCCCATCAGCCTTGCTCGGGCCTGGGTCCCCAAGACTCCTGCCCTGCCTAGGTGCACTTCCAGGGAGAAAGGGCCACAGATGAAGGAATGTGCCAGCCCGAGTCCACGCCCAGCTCCATGTTCTGAGAATCCTGGAATCAATCCCCTTCCCAGAGGAAGGGCCGTGCATGCACTCCCGGCCTGAGGGGCTGTGACAGGTGCGGCCCGCGTGCTGAGGCCTAGATGACGGGCTGCGAGGGACCTTCTGTGAGCCCGGCCACGCTGGAGTCTCCGTGTGTGCACTTGCTCTGGGCCGGAGAGAGCGAGGGGCAGGACTCCTGCAGGCTTGTCCCAGACCCTTCCACTGCTCCTAGGTTCGGGCATTCACTAGGCCTCGACACCTAGAAAACGGTCACATCACAGTTACGGTTTGTCACCGGGAAAGGACACGTTAAAATCAGCAGGGGGGAAAGGAGCAGGAAGGAGAGCTGCTGGGGCACCTCTCAGTGGGGCCAGCTGCCCCCCAGAAGCCTGAGGACCAGCTCTGCCCAACACACTACCAGGGCGCAGAGTGTTCCCAGACCTGGACCGTCCCCGCAGCTGCCGTGACAAAGTACCCCAAGCAACAGAAAGTCTTCTCTGCCAGTTCCGGAGGACAGAAGTTCAAGAGCGAGGTGTGGGCAGGGTCGCGCTCCTGCTGAAAGCTCCTGACGTGGGCCCTCCCTGCCCCTTCCGGCTCGTGGGGTTGCACGCAGTCCCTGGGGCCCTCCGGTGTAGGGTGTCCCGTGCCCACCTCTGCTCCGTCACCACAGGGCCCTTCTCTGTGACCGTGTCCCCATCACTCCCCTGTTCCTGTGAGAACACAGGGCCCCACCTGCTCTCCTCCGACTTCAGCCACGTCTGCAGCAGTTCTATTCCCAAATAAGGTCACATCCCCAGGGGCTGGGGGTAGGACGTCCACATGTCTTCTCGGGGGACATGGTTCAACGCAAACCAGGTGGCCAGAACACCTGTCCGGGGAAGCTCCCCGAGCTCACTGAAGACTCCAGGGTCTGGCCACAACATCGGTGTCATTTGCAAACACCAGTGGGATGCCCTTGATGCTCTGGTTGCAGAAACACTGTTAAATAAGTCACTGTGGGAACCCACAAGAGCCGAACTGAGAAATTAAAATGACACGAACCGTCAGTCCGAGATCTGGTTTCTCTAATGACAATGACAAGGAAAAGCAGCAGAAAAGCTTGAACTTTTGACCTATAGGGTGGGCATTAAGTCTGAAATTTGGGGGCCACAGAGGAAAGCCACATCTTGGCTAAGATGTGTATCCATGTCTTTGTTTCCATCAATTTCCATACAGTATTTCAGACAGTGTCCTCTCAAAGCACAGTCGGTGTTGAATCCACGTAGCTCCAAAGACGAAACCGTCAGAAAGGAAAACAGGACACAGCTGAGGCGTCCGGTTAACGCACGGAGACCTTCACACCCGTGACCTGTGTTTGCACGGTCTGCTTGCGGACCGGCCGTCCCGTGTCCTCAGTGTGCCCGGGGTGAGCCCGCACCCCAGTGCCAGGCTGGCCAGGGTCCCGCCGGGGAAGGGAGGCCAGGCGGAGGGCATCAGCCTGCACTCGTTGACCCCACCAGACACGAGGGCTTCAGGACGTGCCGGTCACCATGCTCATGGTTCTCCTAGCCTGGCTTTGTTGCCTTGTGGTGTGGAGTGCGGTTTGGGTATGAAATCATGAAGTTTCCGTGTCATGACAACTCTGACCAAAGAAGGCCATGTCCTTCAGAGTGCTGAGAGCCCTCCCTGCCAATCGGGGCCATGCAAGTGACTCATCGGCTGGGAGCTCAGAGATGTGAACTCATTTCGCACACGGAGGCCTGAACTCCCTTTCCCAAAGTGAGCAGGTGTCCCTTCCCCTCAGCTGGGAAGCAAGCTTTACTCCTTAGAGAAGTCCAGGCTGGTGGAAAGGGGCGCGGGCCCCGGTGGCCCCTGCTGCGTGGGGTGCCGGCCCCACGACACACACAGCCCGTGTCCTTTATGCCCGTTCTGGGCACGCGGTTCCATCCCAAGGACAGGGACTCCGCGCTTCTGACGGCTTGGTTTGTTCAAAGTCGGGCCGCACGCGGCCCCTGTGTGATGTGCGCAGACTTTCGAAATCATGCTGAGTTGACAAGGGAGGATCCTGGGATTTTGTCATGAAATAAGCCCCTTCGCTCCTTGGTGGGACGGTGTGCACACCCACGCTGAGCTCCCGTTCCGTGGCGCTGGGGCTGACATTCCTGGGCTGCTGGGTAATGTGAGGCTTGTTTACACTGATTGTGTGCAGACTCTCGGAGATTAGGAAGTATTAGTCAGCCGGCTGCAGCCAGGGGCCCGCGAGCCCACAGCCCACGCTATTGTTCTGAAAGTGATTAATTTATTAGAAAGGATTATGGGGCATTTTTGGCAAGAGCTAATAATGATTTCACCTGGGTCAGCCGAGCGCATGCTCAGCATTGCACTGTGTGCCTCCGGCTGGGGGCAAGTGTGTTCGCCAAAATGGGAGGTGGAGACTCCTCAGTGCTCTGTCGGTCCCGCATGAGGGCTGTGAGAGCCCCCCACACAGCTCGCAGAGACTGCCGGGTTTTACGGAAAGCACGCACTCCTGCAGAGGCTTGGACTGCCCCATGCTTCTCGTGGCCTCAGTTCCCCTGAGCTGCCCCCCTGGCCCGGGAAAGGGGATGCCCTCCTCCCAGGGAGAAGTCCAGCGTCCTCTCTAGGAGCAACCCCACGACCTAGCCAGGAGGGTCCAGGAAAGGCTCTGTGAGCTTCAAACAAAGTGACTTTTTATCTAGTTGAAAACGCTTCATGTTGAGGGGCGAGTATTAAAACTCCTGGGGAGAGTCTGAATACATGTTTATTAAACCCAAAATCACAAAGTAAGCATGAAAAGCTCTATTTGAAGGATCCTTACGTGAGCTTTGTTCTCCACCCGGAAGGCGCCTTGCTTACCCACTTGCTCCACAGACCTTTCCCAGAGGCCTCGTGGGGGGTGTCGCCAGCCCAGCCCGGCTGTCCTCCCGGCTGTCCTCCCGACTGTCCTGCCCGGCTGTCCTCCCCGGCTGCCCTGCCCGACTGTCCTGCCTGGCTGCCCTGCCCGGCTGCCCTCCCCGGCTGTCCTCCCCGGCTGTCCTGCCCCGCTGTCCTCCCTGACTGTCCTGCCCATCTGCCCTCCCCGGCTGCCCTCCCCAGCTGTCCTCCCCGGCTGCCCTGCCCGGCTGTCTTGCCGGGATGCCAGGATGTGGATGCCAGGGCGATGGGAAGCAGCATGGAGCCACGTGGGGAGGAGGGCGTGGTGCACCTGCCGGCGGGTGGGCGATGCGGGGTCCCCAGGGACAGGCCTGCGGACTGCACAGGGAAGAAACGAAAGAAAGGAGGCGGGCCCTCCTCTGGGAAAATGCCCCCACTCACCCTTCATCCAGCAAAGGCAGACCCGGCCTCTCCAGGAGCATCCACAGTCGAGACAGGCAGAGTCAGAAGCTCTGCCCAACAAACCAACACGGTCTGTTTTCCCCAGGCCGGCAAGATGGGCTTCAGGTGCCAGAGAAGGCTGGGGGCGTTGGAGGGCCCCCCAAGGAGGGCGGTGGGCACCAGGGTGCAGGGGTGGCTTGTGCAGTGGAGGTGACGCAGGCCGTCTCCAGAGAGAAGGGACTGACTGTGATGTTGAGCTAGGCACGTGTCATGTGACTCAGCTCCGCTTCCATCCCGGTGGCTCACGGAGAAGTCTGTGTTTGCCCCAAACTGTGGGTTTCTCAGGGCAGGGGCCCTGCTCGCTGCGTGGACCCCGTGCTCACCAGCCTTCTCCAGGCCTCGAGCTCTGAAGGGAGAGTCACAGGGTCCACCTGCTGCGGCTGGGCGGATTACAGGTCTGGCCGGGGCGTGTTACCGCCCCTCCCCTGCCTTCCGAGGCCTGGGAGGGGTGGAGATGCGCAGGGGGTGGATCCTCACGCCCCTTGGTTCTTTTAGGGTCCCTTTGCCCACCTCAGAAAGCTTGGCTCAGTTCACCTCTCCTGGCTCAACCGTGCACGTGTGCGTGCGTGTCCTCCTGGAACCCGACCGACACAGGGGCCTGGGCAGACGCACCAGACGGTGTGTGTCGATGGGCTGGGCGGGCGCCCGCTGTTTGTGCCCAGGGCCCATGGTCGTGGTCGGGAACAGCCTTACTCAGTTGGGACCCTCCTCCTGGACTTGCCCTCTGCTGCCAGAGCCCATCCTGCGGGCACAGGGAGAACCCCTGTGATCTGAGAAAACCACTGAATTCAAGTGTGTAGCTCGACTTACACAAAGACACCAGAGCTGTACGGAATTTACGCAAACATTCCTCAGGGGGAGAAGCAACTGGAACACGACCCTCCGAAGAAAAAGGCTTTTTAAGATTTCTCTTTTCTTGACCACACTGGCAAGGTATGGGATGCCTGGGGCAGCTCTGGGGAGGGACAGGGAGACGGAGAGACAGAGGCGTTACGTTCTAGAGTATCAGGTTCATGTGCACCCGGGCCTCCCTGGTGGAGCCCAGCACCGTAGCCTTGCCTTCAAGCCCCTCAGCCACGCCACTCACCTTTATTTTGTAAGCTACTCCTGCCTGGGAACTGCTGTGACCCAGCCTCCATGCCAAGTACCTTCCCTGCTGGAGTTCACGACCACTTACGAGGGAGACAGGCCCTTCGATGTGACCACAGAACTTGACTCCATCTCTGTCCCATTGCCTCTGACCCCAGAAACCTCGCCCTTGCTGGGAGCTCAGAATGTGACGTTGTGTGGAAGAAGGTTGCTGTGGATACAATTAGCCACGTTAGGAAGTGATGGCGGGGAGGGCTCTAAGCCAGTGTGGTCCAAGAGGAAGAGGAAAGGATGCCGTGAGGGCAGACAGACACAGGGAGCACCAATGGAGGATCACAGCAGAGGTGGGAAGGATGCGTCTACATGGCCAGGAGCACCAGGGGCGCTGGAGAGAGGCCTGGGGCAGGTTCTGTCCTGGAGCCTCCAGGAGGCTCCCACGCAGCTGATACCTTGCTGGAGGACTCCTGGCCTCCAGGACTGAGAGCCCAGACTCCTGCTGCCCAGGTGCAGGTCTTCGGTGTGGCTGCCGTGGGCGGAGCCGGTGGGGGCTGGGCGGGCACAGGGGGAGGAATTCGCAGGAGGGGAGTGAAGGTTGTGGAGGGAGGCCTGAGCCTCAGGCACAGCCAGGTTCTGCAAGGGGCTGACTCATCGTCTGGGAATGGCCCCACGGCCGGCCTTCCAGCCTTCCAGACTCAGGGCCCACCCAGACCCCAGGAAGCCTCCCGGCAAGAAGGGGGCTCAGCCTGCTGCGTTCTTGTAGAGGACCGTGTGCAGGCAGCTCCTACATCTTTCAGACTCGCTGCCACCTGGCCTCCTGTCACAGATGGGGAAACTGAGACCCAGGGAGGAGAAGAGAGTGGCCCAGAGTGTGAGGCTGCCTGGTTCTGGTTCCAAACCCGCGCCCTTTTCTGCACACATCCTTGAGGACTGCCCCGTCTGGCAGGGAGACAGGCAGGTACACAGATGACATCATTACCCCGTGAAGGGGCAGCAGGAAATACAAACTGCCAACTTCGGGGGGACCCTGTGGGCATGAAGGGTGATAAGCACCCTGGGCTTGGGGCTTCTCACCAGAGCCAGATGGACAACGGGGGCTCTCAGGAGTGGGGGCAGCGGACTGAGCAGGGGAGGAACTGCCCCCCTCAGCTCTGCAGCCTGAGGGCAAGGGCCAGCCCTGGCTCAGCCGGGGCCTTGGGCTGTGGCTATAAGGACATCCAGGTGCCAGGCTCCAGGTGGCCCCAGGCAACTCTGCAGAGGATAAGGGGGGACTGGGGTGGGGTGCAGCGGCCCAGCGGAGGTCTCAGAGGGTTCCCAGCATTGTGTGGCAGCTCCCGCCAGGGCTTGGCACCATGTGAGTGCAGAGCCACCTCCCTCCCCCTGCCCCATCCTCCCCCGATTAGCTACAAGTCCTCTGGCAAGGAGCTTCGATTCTCCAAGCGCTGGTGACTTCTTCATCTGCAGGTCGTTGCACACACACCTCGCATTGTCTTCAGTCTCCAGGGTCACCCTGAGACTCTAGAAAGATCGCATTCACAGAAAACAGAGGGTTGAGGTCAGCACAGAATTTCTTCACCCCTTATCTTGGCTTCTTTGTAAGAATACCAAAGCAACTAAAGGTTATCAATTAGCACAGAGATAGCAGGATTTGGGCCAGATAATAAGATTTGCAAAATCGCCATCAAAGGGAAATGGGGATATCTCACCTGGGTCCTGGGCCACGCCGACCTTCTGTAGCTTTGAAGTCCTTGAATGTTCTGGGGCAAGTCAGGAGCCTGGGGTGTGAGGCTTCCCTGGGCCTCTAGAGGGCAGGAGCAGGAAATAATGAACGCAAGACGCGGGAAGTGCCCTCAGCCCAGCAGAAGAAGGAGCTTCAGTAGGGTGAGTTCTTTCAGGCATGGGTGCTGGTACTGGCCTCTCCCCACACCTCCTCAGCCAGCGCTCTGCAAAGGGCTGTGTCAGCCAGGGGTCTCTGGAGAAACAGCACAATCGCAAGATGGAAGGAAGGAAGGAAGGAAGGAAGGAAGGAAGGAAGGAAGGAAGGAAGACGGATGGACAGATTGGTTTTAAGGAACCCGCTCCTGTGACTGTGGGGACTGGGGATTCCTCAATCTGTAAAGCAGGGGAGCAGACTAGAAACTCAGGCAGGGGTCGAGGCTGCAGTTTTGAGGCAGAATTTCTTCTCTGGGAACCCCCAGCTTTTACTCTTAAGACCTTAAACCGATTGGGTGAAGCCCACCCACATTGTGGCAGGTAATCTTGACTTCACGTTAACAGATCCTACCTGTCAACCAGTGCTAATCTCATCTACAAAATCCCTGCAGCACCACACCTAGATTAGCGTTTGATCAAAGCACTGTGTGCACCCCCAGCCAGACGGACTCCTACAATTAACCCCACGGCTGGTGTGGACAGAGCTGCCTAACTGAGAAGAGAAGCTAACAATGTGTGTGAGAGGCCCACACCTCCTGGGGTGGCCGGACATTGAAGGTGTTTTGTGAAACATGGCCTTTGCCCACTTCAGTCCGATGTCTGGACTGGGAAGGGGTTCAGCCACAGCTGTGACATATTCTCTGTCCCCTGCAGGGAGGATGGTCAGCAGACCCAGGAGGCAGGGTCCCCAGGAGGGAGTCTCGGTGGTGAGCCGGGGGCGGCGGCGAGGGACGGGACTGTCAATGGTTATGGAAAGCAAGGCTACAGAGAACAGAGTTTCTCCAGCCGTGATGAGCGCCTGGAATAGGAATTCACAGCTCCATGAAGCGGGGGTAAGGATGAGGGTGGGGACAACTTCCAGGGGGAAGTTACGGGGAAGTGGTTTGGAGGACCAAATTAGTGATTCAGGAGGAAAAATACATTTTCAGGGAGAGTCACATTTCACGTTTCTGACATGATAAGCTTAAAATTCTTGCAGGGCATTTAGGTGGGGACTTGTAGAAGTACGGGGAGCCCAGGAGTGCCCACTGGGGGACGTTTATGACTGCTTAGTATACAGCACCCTGGGATGGCTTGTGCTGGGTCCCTAGGTGACCAGGAAGGTTGCTCCATGTGGTAGTGGGGACAGTGGTCTCAAGGACACACACACAAGCCTCCGGAAGGGCCTTGAGTCAGACCCCAGCTCAGCTGCCCCCAGATGGGGACCCTTGAAACTGTGTGCCCTGCAGGTATGTGCTCACCCATCCCCAGGAAGGTGCCTGGTCACTCACCAGTCTCACCTTGTACACCCTCCGGCACCCCTGGGTTAGACTGCCACCAGCCCACACAGCGGACACATCACACACCAGGGCTGCGCCTGGACACTGGCACTTGGTGACGATCTCATCTGCCAAACGCAGGGATTGGGTTCTTGTGAGAATCAGTGGATAACATGTAGAGTGTTAGAACAAAATTGCAGACATGTATGTGTGTGACTCAGTGTCCCCTCCTTTCCACAGCTCCTCCTGTGTCTGCTGGTGGTTCCACCCAAGTCCCACTTGAGGTGGGTGCAAGGGTTTCCTCTGGGTGTGTCCTCCAGGCAGGGAGCTAAAGGGCAATGAGCGTCAGTCCACCTGTCTCAGCACTGAACCCAGGACTGGACATAAATGTCCTCTGTGCTCCAGACAGTGCCCTGGGGCCAGCACTGGCTGAAAGCAGGTCGGGGGTGGGGGGGCGGGCACAGGCAGGTGCCAGGCTGCTTGGCTTCAATCCTGCTGCAGCCTGTGTGTGTTCACAGAAAGAGGAGGGGAAGTTGGTAGATTGAGAGAGAGGAAGAGAGAGGTAGAGTGCAGGAGAGAGAGAGGGAGAGAGAGAGAGGGAGAGGCCCCTTGGAACCGCGCCTGGAACAAAGTGAGCACGCTAAAAGCGCTTTTATAAAACAAAGACCAAAAAAAAAAAAAAAACCCACAAAAAACCCTTTGCACACATGTGGAAAGCGCAGCTAGGCGAGATGGCCGAGGCCCCCAGCTCCCAAGTGCAGACGTGGGCTTGTCCCCGGGGGCCCCATCATCCCTCTGCACCAGTGAGCCTCCAGAGAGGGCTGCCGGGCGGCCCCTAAGCTGGGACCCGGGCGCAGCAGCTTGACGCCGGGCCTGAGGTCCCGCCCCGCCCCGGCCCTCCGGGAGGGTGCGGAGGGAGGAGCTGCGCGCATGTGCACAGCTGGCGCCCCCCGCCCCCAGCGCACAGCTGGGACGTGGGCCGTGCGGGCGGGCGCAGTCCGGAGCCCTCAGGGTCGCGCCGGGCCCACCCGGTCCTCTTGCGTCCGAGCGTCGCGCGCCCAGGGCCATGGCCGTGCGCCCCGCGGGCCCCGCGCGTCGCTGCCTGCTGGCGCTCGTGCTCTGCTGCGGCTGGGGGGCGCTGGCCACTGTCGCCCCGAAGCCGGGCGCCGGCTGTCCGAGCCGCTGTCTGTGCTTCCGTACCACCGTGCGCTGCATGCATCTGCTGCTGGAGGCCGTGCCCGCCGTGGCGCCGCAGACCTCCATCCTGTGAGTGCGGGGGGCGCGGGGCCGGGGGTGGCTGGGTGGGGGGCCCGGACGGGGGACCAGAGGGCGTAGGCGGGGCTGTGGGTCTGGGGGCCGGGCAGTGGCCCTCCGGCCTTTGTCCGCCTTGGCCCGGGCGCGGAGGGCCGACCTGAGCGCGGGGCGCGCGGCCTCCGGAGCTTCCTTTGTTAGCAGCTTGGAATCCCCGGCTGGACGGGGAAGCTGTTGGGGCAACCCGGGAGAGTCCCGCTCGCCGCCCCCGCCGGGCCCCATCCCTGTCCGTTCGCGCCCCCTCCGCGCCCAGTTCTCCCTGCTCCCGCCCCTCTCCGTCCCCACCCTGCCCGAACGCGGTGTATCCCCCACCCCTCCTCCCAGTCCCCTTCCCCTCCTCCGTCCCCTCCTCCGCGCCTCCCCCTCCCCGTTTCCCTCTCCTGTTGGTTTCCCTCCTCCGCGCCCCCTTCTCCCCTCTGCGGCCTCTCTCGGTCCCCCTCCTGCCCTAGGTTGGTGTGCCCCCGCGCCTCCCCCTCCTCCAGGACCGCAATAGCCCCGTCCCCTCTTTGGGGGACATTCCCTCTCGGACCCTCAGAGACCCTTAGCGGCGCCCTTTCCCCTCATCCGCTGGGCGCCGAGAGCCTCCTGCCCGGGTATCCCCTCCTCGAGGGGCGCGCGTTCCCTCGGACTTTTCCGGTGCCCCAGCGAGCGCGGCAGCCGTGGTGCGGGTCTGCGAGTTCCGGGGCAGCTGGGTGTAGACGGAGGACTCGGAGCGCGTTTCCGCCCCGGCGCGCCTCTCGCGGGGGTGCCACACTCGCTGCCACTTGGCGCTCAAGTGGGTACAAAGTGTCGCGCACTTGGCCTCTGCGCGGCGCAGACACCCGTGCCGACCTCGCCTCTCCCCGGAATGCCCCCTCCCCGGAGGCCGACCCCGACCCTCGGCCGCAGCCCAGGCCTAGTGCGCCCCGAGTTGGCTGCAGGCCTCGAGGTTTCCGGATGCGTCCCTGATTAGAAACTCTCCAAATCTGTAAAGGCAGGCATGCCTTTTAGGCGCCGACTGTGTCCGCGTCCTACAGCTGCCCTTCTGGATGCCAAAAATAGTTTCCACTTTTCTTGCCTGAGCCCGACTCATTTTGGCACCGCCCAAGAGCCTGCAAAAGTTGTAAAATCTTGAGTGAACTGTAAGGAAGTGGGCGGACAGCATTGGAACTTTGAAACCGAGGACCTGGCAGACCACCTCCCTCAGGGGCTGCTGACTGTGCAGGCAGCTTCTTGGGGGTCTTTGGCTGGGGTCATTCTCAGCAATGCTGTTCCTTCCAGAGAGAGAAATCGGTTTTCCTTCCAGAGGGTCTGTGTAGCCAACCAAGGCAGACATCCAAGAGGGCATCCCACTCTTAAGTAACGGACTCCAAGGCGGGCACAGCGAGGGTTGTCTGGATATGGATAATTTCTTTACTGAGTCGGTGTTAGAAAACTGGACCCTGAAGTCACTTTTCACATCTGGCCAGTACGGTGCTTTGCCACCAAATCTTAATTGCTTTTTAAAAAAGAGCAGTATTTTAAAATATGAGGGTTGCAGAACAAAAATGGGGTCTTCCGGCTTACTGTGCATGGCGAAATTCCCCTCAGAAACTTAAAGTGTTTCTAAAATAGCCAAGGAAAGTGACATCATAGTGAACACTCACAAGATTTCCAGAAAGCTTTCATTTGCATAAACTTTACCTTATATCTTCACGGATTTTGTAGTTTCAGAAATGTTTTGAAAGGACCATGCTTAGTCTCACGGATTCTCTGAGGCAGGCGGGACAGATGCTCTGCTGACCAAGTCCCTTATAGAAGGAAGATGACTTGCACAGATTATTGGTGAAATGAACACAAACCCATTTTACCACCCTGCAGACTCAGGTCCAGAAGAGGGAGCCTGCCATTGGAGACCCTGGGACCAGGGTTGGGCTGACTCCTGCTGTGATAGGCTCCTGTGGGAGGACATTTTGCAGGTCACTGGGCCCTGGACTGAGGTCACAGGAGCAAGCTAGTAATGGCGAGGACCTAGGCTTTGGGAAACAGGGGACAGTCCAGATGAGAAGCCTCCGTGGGGGACGCAGGAGAGGAGGAGGAGGGTGCGTCTGAGGTGCCAGGCGGCTCCGTCTCTGGGGTCTGGTAGGTTAGAGTGGGTGCTTGGTAGGTGCAGTCACATGACAGACTGCTCATGCAGAAATATTTAATTTTCCCCTGTGGCTTGTTTCCCAGCTCTCTGCTCTCATAAACCGGGATTTTTTTTTTTTTTTTCTATTTTTAAATTATTTGGTAGAAATTGGGAACTTAAAAATACGAAGATAAAGACAGAACCTGACCCCCAAATTAGCTGGACCTTGTGACCCTGCATCATCCCTTCTCTTTTAAGACCTCCTGCGTCGCCCCCCCCACTCCCAAAAAAGATTGACTCAGAGCCACTGGGCCTCTGACACTTCCCACGGTATTCCGGGAGTGTGTTCACGCGGGGCGGAACCGGGTTGTTGAGCTTCAGAGTGTGTGGCCGCCCTGTGGTTCTGGTGTGTTTGGCCCCAGCTCGTGCCCACTGGCAGCATCTGCTGGGTGTTCTAGAATGAACTGCACCGGCCCCTTGAGGTCTGGAGCCTGGGGCTGTGATGGGCGGGCCGCAGTGCCCCTCTGGCCTGCAGGCCAGCCGCTTTGCTGCCTTCATGGGCTCCTTCCCCACCGGCTGCTCTTCTGTACACAGGCCTGTTCCAGTCTGGAATGTTCTAGTCTGTTAAGCACTGCAGTAGAAGCTTGTCACCACGATAATTAAAAAGCGAGTCCTAAAACTGTGACATTTCTGCCCTTCTTGCCCTCCTCTGGGGTTCTGGCCTGGGGCTGGCGGGCCCTCTGCCCTCCCCAGCCTCCCCCAACCCCTTTCTTGCCCTGTAGCCTCCATTGTGAGGTCATGGGGATCTACTCCAAAACTGACATCCATCAGACAGCCAGGCCATGCCAGACCACTGTCCATGTGACAGGAAGCCCTGGGCGGGAGGCAGCCTGGGGACGTAGCCCAGCCCCAAAGTAGGCAGGGGGCTCTGCCCGCCAGACAGCTGCCCTGTTCTGCCGCCTCAGCTTCCTGATCACCTAGCGGGTTTGGGGATCTGTGCCTGGATGCAGCCCCACCCAGGAGTATACGAGGCCTTGTGGAGCGCTGGAGAGCGCGGGTCTGCAGGCTGGATGAGGAGGAGCCGCTGGGGCGGGGCCCTGGAAGCAGCTAGGGGCGCCTGCACCGCTGTGTGCTGGGGAACCCGGGACTCCCGCTTCATGGGGGGAGGGCACCCCAGGGCTCCCGCTTCATGGGGGCCGGGGACCCCAGGGCTCCCACTTCATGGGGGGACCCCAGGCCTCCCACTTTATGGGGGGGCAGAGGACCCCAGGGCTCCCGCTTCATGGGGGGAGGGCACCCCAGGGCTCCCGCTTCATGGGGGCAGGGGACCCCAGGGCTCCTGCTTCATGGGGGCAGGGGACCCCAGGGCTCCCACTTCATGGGGGTAGCCCAGGGCTCCCACTTCATGGGGGGAGGGGACCCCAGGCCTCCTGCTTCATGGGGAGAGGGGAAC